TAAATTTTTCACTTGACTTTGAGATTTAGACTCATTTTTTCCAATCCTTCTTATGATTATTCAGATATTATCATAATTATTCTAGAGTTTCTTTTGATAATTTAAATTTTCCTAGACACATGTCCATTTCATCTGAATTTTTAGATACTTTGATATGCTATATACCACAATACASTTTTGAAGTATTCTTTGCACTAGTTTTAAATATGAGTACTCTCTTAAATGTGTGTGTGTATGTGTAAAGTGTTGCAACTATTCAGCTTTCTTGTTGTGAAAGCACTCAGATAAAATGTAGAAGAATGATCATGAATGCTTTCTTTTTGTACACTGAATTTTTCATTTTTATAATTTTGTGTTACAAAATTTTTTTAAATTTAAAAATATAAAATCAAGTTTAATTTTCAGACCAGTGAACTATATTTGCCAAACCATCTTCTAACTAATCTATTTCAGAGACATGTACTAAAGTGGTCATTACATTGTAGATTTATTTCTCTATTTTTAAATCATTTTTCCTTTGAATGACATATACTCTTTAGATATATAAAGATTTGTGGCTATTTTATATTTTTGGTATTTTATCTTTAACCAATATTAAAGTTTATTTTCATTTAAGGATTTTTTTTTGAGGGGCTGGATTTTATTATATCCTAGAATAATATTGCCACTTTTCCTTGTCTTTTGTTGATGTTAACCAATCCTGTGCAGGAACATAGATTGCAAGCCCCAATAATACCTGGGTCCACTATGGGGAAAAAAAAAAAAACATTAACTTTTATTTGGACTTCCTTTTCAGTAACTTCTAGTATGAAGGTTTTATGGCCAACTACCTTCCCTTTCCACGTAGATTGATGTACCAAAACCAAGATAGTGCTATCTAGAACCTTCAAGTATGTATTTATGTGTACTCAGAGTTCGTATTGCCTCATTGTCAAAGGGAAAAGTCTTTTTTTCTTCCTTGTTTTGGGGCATAAYATTTGGCACCTAATAGATAATTGATACTAGGGCTATTTTATAAGTTCTTTTAGCCTACTAAATGTGTAATTAAGAAAAGACCATTTTTATTTTATAAATAAAGGGAGGAAAACCTTTAACATTTGTTGATTCATTAAATTGGTACTTGTAGAAAAATAACATCTCCATAAGATTGTAATTTGGAAAGATAAGAAACAATTTGAACACACTGAATATCACATTTTTGTCTTCAGCCCTTTTGTTAGAACTTTCAAAAGATTAGTAGTTTCAGTGTCAATGCCTGATTTTTTCCCCCATAGTTTAAGTGATTCTATGCTGTCCTTATCAGATTCTCTTAACTTTGTCAAGACTGTTAACTTAGCCTCACAAAAATAGATTTCCATCAATGGTTCCTTTGTTATATGTCTTTAGTAGTGTAGCAGTTTTTATTTTATGCAAAAATCATAAAGACACAATGGTTGCCTTGCTTTTTGAGACTTCACATTGACTTTATTTTAAAGTGTAAAAATTTGCCTTTAAGTCTACCTCAATGTTGGAGTATGTGGCTTTGTTCTCATTCTTGTGATTATTCTCACAAATCAGGGTAAACTTTACTAAGAAAAAGGTTATCATAAAAAGATGGCTACTAACTTTGATAATTCTTTATGTATTGTTGTCTTCCTGATTATAGGGAAAGGCAACATTTTTCTTTATTCCTAATTGCTAATTTTCATAGTTCATTTTGCGTCCTTTTTATTTATAAAGGGTATGGATCAAGACAAATCAGAATAAATTTTCATGTATATTCATGAAAGTATTTGGCAGGAACTTTATCAGTCCATCCTGCCAGTGGTTTAAGTGCTATATAAAACCAAGTAGTGTTGTCAACTGTCTTCCTCTTGCAGACCTACTTGTTTCTTCTGTTTAATCCCTCTTTTTTTAAATGCCAACTAGTGTTTAAAACAAAWCAAGTAAAGGTTTTTCTTAAGGGAGTTGTAAGCCATGGGAAAATTTTTAGCCAATGACTTGTGGAAAATAGTGTCAATGCCTTCTTGAGGAGATCATCATATAGTGCCTAGGTACTTTTCTTACTGAAAATCAGTATAAGCTGAATAAGATGAAACATAGCTTCAGGTAATATGATACATATCATTGTTGGTAGGTAGTAATCAGAAATGGAGGAAGCTTTTTTGTGACTTGGGAGGGGATATCATAAATCCTTAAGCTACTTCAGAAGTTTTTGTTAGGCATGGTAACAATATACAAAATCCAGTACTTCAAACATACATATCAATTAGTATTTGAATTAAAGTTAATATAATGAAGTTTATACTTTACATATTAATATGTGAATAAAATATGCTTATTTTTAGTCTCCAATAAATTAAGCAAATTTCTTACCATATCATTCTACATATTTCTATATATCAAGTTGAGTTTTAAAATTGCTGATACTTTTGTTACACTTAATTTTTGCTAGTTTTATTAACCTTCTGTTTGAACCATAGTTTAGCAAAAGAAATTTCATCAAATAACTTTCTAGTAAATTGATAGTCATTAGAGTTTAGATAAGTAGAATATTTCTTTTATTATCAAATAACCATTTTGTTTATAGTGCTGAATTCTCTCTTAGCTTCTAAGAACAATTACTTTAAAAAATTTTTTTTCCCAGTCCTTATGACAAAAGAAAATTTGGAATACCTAAGGCAATTTGGCTGTAGTAGAAGCAATAACAACAATGCAGTACTTTGGAGTAGGCTCTATTTTGTTGGGCTGTCTGGGCTTGAATCCTTGCTCTGCCAATTTAATAACAAACTTGTAGGTAGTGTTTTGTTTTGTTTTGTTGTTTTTTTTTTTTTTAGCGAGAGAGAGATAATGTTTTAATATTTCTTTTTTAGTTTTCAGTGGACACAACATCTTTATTTTATTTGTGTGTGGTGCTGAGGATTGAACCCAGCGACCCTYGCATGCTAGGCGAGCGCACTACTGCTTAGCCCATGTGTTTTGATGGGAGGATTTTGGAGTGCTGACTTGTGTGAGAACTAGACAGAAAATATGCTATTTATGGATGGATATAAAAGTTCTCTTTTTACATTGGAAAGTAGCTCTCTTTTGTCAAACTATGGGGTATTATGAGGGGTGGAATAATGAATGGAAGGACAGTGAGGGGGTTTGGGCCGCAGTGAGTTACCAACCACAATGAAAGTACTAAGTATTTCACTAACATATATGGASATATTTTGGTCCATGCTGGCTGGATATCAGCCCTGGTTACATGTTAGGTAAGGAGAAGAATAAAATTTAGAAGCAAGATCTTTTATTAACCTGTCCTTAAACTTGTCATGCTCAGAATATCTTTTTGATAGCAATACATAACATCTCTCCTGTTACTGATTTCTTAGTCTGTTTATCCTATTTCATGCATGAAACATCCTTCTCAATATTACTTGATAGTTATCTTAAAGTGTTAATAATATAGGACTGATTGATGTCATATTATTAGTAGGTTACTCAGAATTAGGCCTTGGGCTGGGGCTGTAGCTCAGTGGCAGAGCACTTGACTAGCATGTGCGAGGCATTGGGTTCGAGCCTCAGTACCACATAAGGTAAACAAAGGCATTCTGTCCATACACAACTAAAAAAAAAAAAAACTTAAAAAAAAAGAATTAGGCCTTGTCAATAGCTTCTTTGAAAAATAAAGATTAAAAATATTACTGTAGCAGTGTCACATGCCCATAACTCCAGAGACTGGGGAGGCTGAGGCAAGAAGATCTCAAGTTTAAGCTTGCCATAGAAATTTAGTGATACCATCAGCAACTTAGCAAAATAAAAAATAAAAAGACTGAGGRTRTAGCTCAATGGTAAAGCACCACTTATGTTTTTATTTGACTTAACAATTGCATTAGGTTACTTGAACAGCCACACAAAGTATCACAGACTGGGTGGCTTAAACAGATATTTATTGTCTCTCTCACAGTTTTGGAAGTCAGAAGTTAGGAATCAAGGTGTTAGCAGATTTGTTTTCCTTCTGAGGGCCGTGCAGGAAAATCTGTCCCATGTCTTTTTCTTAGTTTATGGTGCTTACTGGCAATCTTTGGTATTCCTTGACTTGTAGATGTATCACTTCAATCTCTGCTTATGTCTTCATGTTCCATTTCTGAGTCTCTTAGTAAATAGTCTCCCCTCTGTGTTTGGGTCTAAATTTCACCTTTCTCTGAAGATGCATTGTATTGGAGTAGGGCTCATCCTAAAGACCTCATCTTAAGTTGACTCTATCTGCCTGGACCTAAATAAGGTCACTTTCTGAGGGTTTCTGGTTTAGGATGTCAACATAATCTTTTGGAGTGGACACAAACACATGGTACCTATATGAAAAAAAAAAGTTTCACTGGTAGAAATTTGAGTATGTCTGCCATATTGCTTTTTATTGTTTTACTTTAAATATCTGAAATTTTTCTTAAATTCTAAGTATATTTTTTCTAAATTCTATAATTTGTACTGGAGACTAGTAATCATCCAAATTATATCTGGGTACTAATCATATTTTCTGTGGATATAAGTACTACCTCATTAAAACATGCCTGATTTTGAAATTTTAATTAAATGATAAAATATGATGCATGACAATTAGAAGTCAGAATACTATAAATATTGCATTTATTTTTTTTGGTAATCTTTGTAATGTGTTTAGTTGAGCCATGATACACATTCTTTTATTGTATTACTTCTTGAAGCAATAATTAATCTCTTATTTTTAGAAAGCTTCTACATTCACAAGGTGATGAGAGACTCAGATCTCATATATGGTATTACATTAGCCAGACTAAATGTCCTGTTGTCATCAGGTCTTCATTAGACTTGTACATTTCCTTGGAACTTTATTGAAATTCTTTATTATGTTATAAATACAAATGTGATATCAGATAATCTTTAAAAATCAAAGAGACTGCTCTAGTTTTGAATGAATATTGTGAAAATATTAAAGGTATGTAAATATTCCATTTAGAAATTTTTAGTATACTAATAGTATAAACATGTTTGTTCAGGTTTTGACTGGATCATCTCGTCAAAGCTATTCACCTTCTGGCTTTCAGGATTTCAGTAAGTGGGAATCCGTGCTGAAAATAAAAGAAGGACTTCTAAGACAGAAAGAGATTGTAATTGATCGGTGAGTCTGTTTTTTATTTACTAAATATTACAGGTATATAGAAATGTAGATTAATGAAACAAATACATTTGCACCCACTACTTTAAATTAGAGAACAATTTACAAAATTCATTGATGGCACCTTTGTCCCTCTCTAGTCCCCATAAAGGGGAAAGCAAGACTTCTCAGAACAGAGGTTTTGTTTCTCACCTGCTGGTATGCCTGATTTCTATCATCTTTATTCACTTTAGTGTTAACTTATTATTTGGAAGGTTCTCTGTGTGTTTTTTATATATGTAGCAGGTTAGTTGCAAAGCTAATGAATTATCAGAGCTACAGAATATTGTCTTTTGTTTTAACATTTAGGGACTATGAATTTGGAAAACTACTTAAAAGTCATTATTTCCTTTAATGTATGTTAAGTCTGAACCACAGAAACTATGAAAATGATGTTTAAAGTTAAATAACTTTTTATCTTATGGAAGTTTTCTTGGACATTCCAAAATTTTTGTACTAAAATCTCTGAAAAATAAATTAATTTATACTTAGTTTCCTGATTATTCTGAGCAGTAGACTTTAATGTTACTTGATTATATTCTCTTTGACATATATTGGCTCTACATCATTTATGTATACTTTTGGGATAATTGTGTATTGTGGTAATTGGGAAATAGTTTGAAGAAGAATATTTTTATCAACCAGCAGCTTTTAAACTAATAGACTTCAAAATATCATTAGTTAGAATTACTCTGGGATGGAAACCAGAGTAAAGGTCCTGAGCTTTTTAATTTGGGATGTGGTGTGGTTGATCATACCTTCCAAATCTCTTTTCTAAAAATTATTTGCAAGATATTATTTTTGAAAATATCAGGTTACCTGCATTTATGAGAAAAATGTGCTTTTTTTATCCTATTTATGCCCTTTGAAATAGATGTTTGGATAATTAGGTCAAATCCTTTGAAATAGATTGTTGGATAATTAGGTCAAAGTGGAATAAAAGTTTAGGAAAAATAACTGTGCTCCTAAATGTGCCCCATTTCTTGAGAAAACATGTATAGTTTAATTTCAAAAACAACTCATAAAAACAAGAAACCTAGTTTATTATATTTGCCATTGTAACTATTTAGATGATTCTGAATGAAGTGCCTGACCTTTTGCACTTTGGTCTACTCATCTGCCTCAGTTAAAGGACTTTCACCACTTAAAAATGAAGTTTTTGAAGACCATCATTTTAAGCAGCTCTCCTCTTCCATCCAGTTTTATAGCATGATGATTAAATGAATGAATATATGTAAAGGAAAACTAATATACTACCTGATATATGAATTTGGCAGAGTAGCAAGATACAAGATCAACATTCATAAATCAATAGCTCCTTATACCCCAACAGTGATTCTGCTGAGAAAGAAATCACGAAAGCCATTCCATTCACAATAACCTAAAAAAATACATATACTTGGAAATTAAGCTAACCAAGGAGGCAAAAATTAAAATGAAAATTATAGAACATTGGAGAAAGAAATCAAAAACTACCTTATAAGATGGGAAGGGAGAATTAATATTGTCAAAATGACCATATTACTAAAAGCACTGTATAGATTCAGTGCAATCCCTATCAAAATACCACTGACATTTTTCACAGAAAGAACAGTCCTAAAATTCATTTGGAACATTAAGCAACCCAGAATATCCAAAGCAATCCCAAGCAAGAAAAATACTGGAGGCATCACAATACCTGAACTCAAATTACACTATAGAGTTACATTAAAAATCCAGCATGGCACTGCCATCAAAATAGACAAGAAGAGCAGTAGAATAGAATAGAAGACACAGAGTTGAACCCACATACTTAACATCTGATGCTTGACAAAGATTCCAAAATATATGTTGGAGAAAAAAAAAMCTCTTTTACAAATTGATCTGRGAAAATTGGCTATTTATATGTAGAGGAATGAAATTAGATCCCCATCTCTCACCCAGTACAAAAATCAAAGCAAAGCAGCTCAAAGACAGGAATTACAGCAGAAGCTTTGCAATTGCTAGAAGAAAACATAGGGTCAACACTCCAACATATTGGCACAGTTACCAACTTCCTTAACAGGACCCCTAAAGATCAAGAAATAAAACCAAGAATCAATTAGTGGGATGGCATTATAGTTTTATGCACAGTAAAAGACATGATTAAAGAGCATGAAGAGAGCACCTATAGAATGGGAGAAAATCTTTGCCAGCTATTCCTCTGATAAGGGATCATTATCCAGAATATAAAAAGAATTCAAAAAGCTTAATACCCCTCCAAACTAAATAAACGGGCAAAAGAACTAAAAACAAATATTTCTCAAAAGAAGAAATGCAAATGACCAATAAATTTGTGAAAAATGTTCAACATATTTAACAATTAGGGAAAYACAAATCAAAACTACATTGTGATTTCATCTCACTCTAGTCAGAATGACAGTTATCAAGAATACAAATGATAATAAATGCTGGTGAGGAATAGGTACACTCATAATAGCTAGTGGAATTGCAAATTAGTACAGCCAGTCTGGAAAGAGGTAAGGAAACTCCTCAAAGAACTAGAAATGGAACCACTATTAAGACCCCAAGTATCTCACTCCTTGATATTGTCCAAAAGAACTAAAAATCACTATATTATAGTTATATAGTCACATTAGTGCTTGTAGCAGCACAATTCACAATAGCTAAATTATGAAACCAGCCCAGACGCCTAGCAATAGATATAGACTAAGAAAATGTGGTGTATATAAGCACAATGGAGTTTTACTTATCCATAATAATGAAATTATGGCATTTTCAATAACAAGATGAAACAGGAGAACATCATGCTAAGTGAAATAAGCCAGACTCAGAAAATCAAGGTCAAATGTTTTCCCTCATATTTGAGAAAAAAGGAGATTGTATATCATTAAGATTTAGGGAAGAGAGCAGTGTAGTAGAAGCAGATTAAGGGGGAGGAAGGAGGGACAAGAAAGGGGAGAAAATGTGGGATGAATTTGACAAAATTATGCAATGTCCATGTATAAATATACTACAGGGAATTCCACTTTTATACGTAAATAAATGAAAGGAAGACCAGTAGAGTTGAGGAAGAAGAAGAGGGGAAAGGAAGAAGGAAGAGAAAGAGGGTGGAGAACCGGGGACTGAAATGTGGTAAATTAAATTCCTTGTGTGTATAAAATCATACATTGTCAAAATGAACCCAAATATTATACATAACTTTAATGCACTAATAAAAAACATAAGTTGAGAAAAAGAATTTGATATCTGTCACAGCAAAAATAAAAAGTTAAAAATTTCAAACTTGAGAGCTTTTAAATTTTAGTTCTTTAAAGCACTTCTCACTTTTCTTATTTCAGATGAGAAATTTCTCCTCTTTACCTTTATCTCTCTAAATTAATTTATCTTTTTCCCCTCTAGTTACTTGTAAGATTTTTACCACTGCTTTTAAGCCATTGATTAAGGTGTACTTTGCTATAGTTTTCTTCATGTTACTTGTGCTTTGGGTTCACATGCTTTCTTTTGAAATCTGTTGATGCCTATGGTTCTTAGCAAATTTGGAAAAATTATGATTCAATATATATAAATATTTTTTGGTGTTCCTACCTCACTTTTTAAAATCTTTTCTTGGAGGATTCCAGTTTTTTTTAACATGTATTTGGTCTCTTATAATAGTATCCCCTAGCTCTCTGATAGATTCTGAGACTTTAATTTTGTTTGTTTGTTTGTTTATTCTGTGTGTATTTCTCTCTCTCTCTCTCTCTCTCTATTTTTTTTTTTTTTGGTATTGGGGTTTGAACCAAAAGGTACTTATCTACTGAGCCACTTCCCTGCTTTCTTTTTTAAATGTTTTATTTTGAGACAGGATCTTACTAAACTGCTTAGGGCCTTTTTAAATTGCTAAGGCTGGCTTTGATCCTTTGACCTCATGATCCTCCTAGAATGGTAATTGGGTTGGGCGATCTTTATAAAAATAGCTTTCTCCCCTGACAATGAGATTATCATTATCAATAACTTTAATTGGTATAAACCATTGAGTAGATTTTGGATGAATGAAAATAACAATTTTAAATAATGACATTTCAGACTAGGAGGTAACATTTATTATATTAGGTAGCAAGAAGAAAGAAAGCAAAGCATGATGTTGTTAGAATTTAAAAAGAATATCTATGTGGGCTGGGGATGTGGCTCAAGTGGTAGCGCACTCGCCTGGCAAGCGYGGGGCGCTGGGTTCGATTCTCAGCAACACATAAAAATAAAGACGTTATGTCCACCAAAAGCTAAAAAATAAATATTAAAAAAATTCTCTCTCTCTTTTTTTWAAAAAAGAATATCCATTAAAGACCACATTCTGCACAAGTACTAGAACTACTCCAGAGTATGCATAAATTAAACTTTAATTCTGCATATTAAAAAAACTAAACAAATTCCCTCTTATGGTTTCTAAAATTTATAGTGCTTTTAAAATCTCATGTAAAATTTTTAAATACTAAAATTGCTTTTTTTTTTCCTAAAATTGCTTTTAACTGTTTCTTAGAGAAGTACATTCTTTATAATATGATCTCAATTTGTATTTTATAGGCAAAAGCAACAAATCACCCACCTACATGAGAAGATAAGGGATAATGAACTACGGGCACAACATGCCATGTTAGGGCATTATGTAAATTATGAAGATTCTTATGTGGCTAGTTTGCAGGTAAGACTACAGAGGATTTTGTAGTTGTTGTTTAATAGTAAATTGTATTAATGATATACCTAGCTTATAAAATCAGGACATTTTAAATGAAGGTTTTAAATTAGTATATTTACATGGTTCATATTTATATGTGTGGCAAAAGGTGTCCAACTATAATCTTCCTTTTGTCTAGTTCATCCCACATACAGCAGAAGCTATTGTTACCAGTTTCTAGCTTATACTTTCAGAGATGATACATATAAGCAGATGTAAATATATTTTATGCCCTTGTATTTATAAGAAATATCAATATGGGCATTGGCATCTTGTTTTTTCCCTTATATTATTTAAAATTGTATAAAATTCAGTTATTATTTTCATATCACTACATAGATAACACTACTTTCCTTTCTATTTTAGAAAAATAGCATGCATTTAGTCAGTCTATTTTCTGTTCACCAAAATTTGGGTTATTTTCTGTTTGATCTTTAATAAATGATACTCTCAATAGCCTTTTATAAATATTCTTTGAGTCATGTGCAAATATTTTCATAAATTATTTTTTTCTTTTTAAGAACCATGTGTTTTCCTAAAACTGAAAACTTTTCAGATAAGACTTCTCAGTGTTTTATGAAGTTTGTAATTTTTATTGATATTGTCAAATTGCCATTCAGGAGAGCATTATGTATGACTTCCCCTCTTCTACTTCCTGCCTCTCGGCCATACTAACAGAATCTGTTACCAAACTTTTGGAATTTTTGCCCTTTGTTAAGTTATATAAAAGTCATGATTGGAGGGAGTTATCTCCATATGGCTTCAACATATATTTCTTAATAGTGATGATATTAAAAGATTGCTTCATATTTCTTTCTTTGAATTATCTTTTCATATTCTTTGCTCATTTTTCTGTTAGGTTTTGGGGGTTTGCTAATTGTTTTTATACAAACAATATACATAAAAATAAAAATTATGTATAGAAGAAATTAGCCTTTTGTCTGTACTTTGATTGGACAATATGTTTTTCCAAATTTGTCATTTTCTATTTATATAATCCTGTTTCTTTTTCCTCCATTTTTTTCCTACTGTAAACTCAAATTCTAATGAGTATTTTATAAATGACTTCCACCTTTACAAATGAGCCCGTTTAAAAGTCAATCATTAAACATCCCCTGTGTTAAATTTTGAGGTGACAAAAGTGAAGAAAAGTTTCTGCTTTCGTGGATCTTAGAATTTACAGAGGGAGGAACCATATGTGAAAGCACATTTATTCATTCATTCCCCCACCCCCACCCCCGGCAAATATTCTGTATTYGCTAGGATAAAGCAGTATCTAGGCCCTGGGTCTAGAAATGTGAATGTTGGTTTTCCCTGTAATAACAGTGTAAGGATCTGTGAGACCTTGTAACAAAATTTATCTAGCTGAAGGGCTATTTTCTCCAGTTGTTACTTTTTAAGAGTTTTCCTTAACACTTCTTTTTGTTTTTATATATAAACTTTATTGACACATTTATTCCCCAAAAGGGGGGTGTTGGTGTTTTTATTGGGATCAAAAGTGAGGCCTGATTTAGCTTTCTGGTGATATGTACTTCTATTTTTTTTGGAAAATTTGGTCCTCTTTGTTAAGGTTTTATTCCTAGATTTTAAAAAAAATTACTTGAAGTGGAATTTTTCCTTCATTGTATCTTCGGTATGTTACTTATAAATATTAAAGATATGGAATCAGAAAATATTGAAGAACAAATAACTGTTGGATTTACCTGAGGCAGAGGCATTTAACAAAGATTCCAGCTTGCTTTCTATACTTAAGTTACTAATAAATCAAAATACTTCATTTATATATGATTTTCATATGACTTTAATCACATAATAACAAGCTTCTATGGTATAGTACTGAGATTAATAGTATTTTTATGCTGTGTATCTAGTCTAATTTGATTTGTTAATTTGTTAATGTAATTTTAGTAGAACCAGTTTCTTCTTATAAATCAGTATTCTAAATAAGAGTTTTTCTTGAATTATATGGTTATATTACCAAAAGAATGTAAAAATAGGTATCTGAGGGCTAAAAAAAGAATTTTTTTTTTTAAAGCATAACACTAGGCCAGTAGAGGGCTCTCCATGTTAGTCTGCAAGGTCAGATGAAACTTTCAGAGGGCTCTCCATGTTAGTCTGCAAGGTCAGATAAAACTATCTGTAGGATATGGAAAAGGTGTTGCTAAAAATATTAGAATTTTGAATCACATAGAGAATTGAAATATAATTAAAATTGATTTAAAAATGTCAGAACAGTTTATAAAAGGTAATATAAGGAAAATACTAAGTGGGTATAATAAATATAGATGGTAAGCTTTTTTCTATGAACTAGATATAGAAATCTAATAAAATGGCAAAGGATAGAAGAAATAAGGTGATAATAAAACATTTCTTTAGCAAAATAATTTTTACCTGAGATCTTAACATTAAKTTTTTATGTATAGAATTTTCTGTATTTCATAAAATTTTTATTTTCTGTTTCACAAAATTTTTATGTTTCATAATTTGAATAATTCCATTTAGTACATTTGAAAAACAAAGTTAGACTTCTATTCTGCATATTCTAAAGTGAAGTCAATTTGTAAAATTTATAAAATTTTATTAATTTATAGATGGAAAACATTCTTGAAGTAATTTTCATGACTATTAAAAACTTAATAAGATTATAATTAAGATGTCTCCTTAAAAGTAGATATTACTACACGTCTCATTGCTGGACACAAGAACCATGTGTTTTACTAAAACTGAAAACTTTTCAGATAATTTTTATGATTAATAGCATTAAAGAGCAGTTTATACTTAGAAATTTTGGTTTAAACCATATTAAGTTTAAATCTACATATTAAGTTTAAATCTACAGTTAGAAGGTCTTATGGGAAAAATAAATATGAAGGAACTGTTTTTTCTTTTGTTAGGTGAAGAGGTTTCTTTTTTCCATATACATGTATACCTTGAAAATATCAGCTTAATGAAATGTATTTTTAAACTTTATTAATGAATTGTTCTATCCTTTTTCTTTCCATTTATGTMATTTTCTTCTATTTTTCATTTATTTTTTTTCTGCTACCAAGTCCTTTGGTTCTGATAAGCATTTAATAAGTTCCACCTTTACAGACAAGCCTGTTTTATAAACCATTAATCATCTAATGTGTTAAATGTTGGAGGCACAAGTGTAAAGAACAATTTATATCTTCATGGATCTCAAATCCTGTAGAAGGAGACTATATACAAAATTTATCCATTTACATTAAAATTATTTGTATTCACTATGGAAAAGATATTATTTCAGCTCTAGTAATATAAATGTAAATAAATTTGGTTTTGCTTGAAAGAATGTGTACTCTTAAAAGAAACAAARGCAAACAACAGACTATTGTCAAATATTGGAAGTACCCAAAGTGGTTATATATGAAGTTCTGTGAGAACGTATAAATTAATCTTCCAAAAGTCAGAGTAGTCTCACTGTTGGAAGTGATATCTAATCTGAGAACCAATGAGCTAAATGAATTTAGCCAGGTGAAAGGAGTAGCAGAACAGTGTTTGAGGCACACTGTACAAGATGTGAAGAGGCCCAGAGGAATGAGGGGAAATGAAGCATTTGGAAAACTACAAATTATTCTGTATGGATGAAGTTTAAAATGAGAGAAAAGTAGTCTTAACAGATGTGGTTGAAGAGGTAAGTAGAGGCCACATGTTATCAAAGACCTGAGACAGTAAAGGGCCTATCTTTCTCAGGTTTGCTGTATTAATATTATTTAACACCCTCTTTTACTCTCCAAGTATCCAAGTTTGGTTACTTTGGTAGCATAATGTAGACTATATTTAAGATAGATGGTACTACAGATAGGGAAACCAGTCAGGAAGGTAAATCAGTAGCCCAAAGGTTTAGTGAACACCCAAATTTTAAAACAGTGCTCAGGATGAAAGGAAGAGTATTTATTAAACATGTTTGACCAAGTATAGTCAAATGAACCAGATGTAGTGACTTATTTATGTGATGAGTGATAGATAATGATTGCCTAGTATCTGATGGGACAGTTATTTATAGGTATCAGTGATCACAATGGAGACTATTATGTTACAAATAGATTTAGATAAGAAAAATAATTAAATTTACATGTTGTCAGTTTTGGGTTGAGAATGATGTTGATTTTCATGATTGAAGGTCTGAGCCAGAGGTGAAAGATTTAGGTGTCCTTAGTTTAAGTGTGTGATGGTTGAAGCCTTGGGCATGATTATGTATTCAAGGAAATGTTTGTGCAATGAGAAGAAATGGGATCTGGAACTAAAGGCAGGGAAGAACAGTAGTTTGGAGGATAGTAAAAGAGCACAATTTGTGATGAAGCCTGGGGCAGGGGAGCTATGATAGAACTGAAGGAAAGAAAGTATTTCTCCACAGAGAGGAAGTGATTGTATGTATGAAATTTAGAGAAGGTAGATAAATGCTGAAAAGATTGTTACTAAATGYAGAAATTAAAACATTCTGACCTTAGATTTCTTTATGATTAATTTTATGTAAAATTTCAATTATAATTTGTCTTGCTTACAGAACCCATTTTTGTGGTRCAGATTTTTTTCTTACACAGTTGATAAAGTCTAGTTTTCAAGTCTCTGGTTCATATGTGCTTTTTAATTTTCATTTGGTTTTGTTTTTAGGCAGGGAGGAGGAGGTTAAACTAGTGTAATAAGTAAAATTGGAATCTTTGATTATTATTTCTAACCAGCCATGTGTCCTGTGTAACTACTTCTCTGAAGATTTTCACTCCAGAAAAAGTAGACTTCAAAGCAAGGAARGTTATTAGGAATTAACAAAATGGTCAATATTCTAAAAAGACAGAACAATACTTAAGATGTATGTAATTAACAATAAGATGTCAAAATACATGAAAGAAAAAACTTATGGAACTACAAGAAGAAATAGATAAACCCATTGGTTGAAGATTTTAACAACTTTCTATAAGAAATGGAAAGACCCAAAAGGGGAAAAA